CTGTTCTGCTCCCCGCTCTGACTCTGGTGAATTCTCTCACCCTCCTGCGCTTCTGACTGTACCCAGTGCTTGTATAAATAAATAAAAATAAATCTTTTAAAAAAAATTGCACCTTAAGGAATCCCTACATGCCAAGGTATATAGGAAATAAGGAGCTGACGTGGGAGACAGAAAAGGAGCTGCCACAGAAATGACAGAAACCCTGAGGGGGTGTCACAGGAGCCAAAGGAAGAACACTCAAGGATCAGGGGGTGGCTTGTGCAAACAGCTGAGAGAACAGCACATGAGATATAGAAAGACGGAAAAGTGATCCCTGGAAAGGGGGGCTCGGGTATTGAAGTGGGGGCAGAAACCGCATTAGAGGGAGTTAGAGAATGAATGAGAGGCAAGAGATGGAGACAACTTTTAAAAAATTTGATTGTCAGGTCTCCTGGTGGCGCAAGGGGTTAGGCAAAGCACTATGAAGTGACCCACAGCCTCTGCAGCACGAATTTGATCCCAGGCCGGCCAGGGAGCAACCCACATGGAGAGCAGACCTCTCCTGACTAGCCCGCTGCTCCCCTCAGACTGTACTTCAGTCAGTCTGCCTGTTCTGTTCCCTGCTCTGTCTCTGGTGAGTCCTCTCACCCCCTTGCACCTCTGCCTGTACTCCCCCCCCCCAGCTCTTGTATGCATAAATAAATACATCTTTTAAAAAAAAGAAATTTGATTGTCAAAAAAGAAAAACTCATGCCATTTGCAGCAACATGGATGGAACAAGAAGGAATTATGCTCAGTGAAATAAGCCAGAAGGAAAAAGAAAAATATCGGATGGTTTCACTTAGAGCAGGAATATAGGGGAACCAAATAAGACATCAGTGTAAAAAATAATAACAGTACAAAACACAACACAGCAAAACAGACAATTATAAACCAGAGACATCCTGCAGGGGGGGAGGAGGAGGGAGAGGGATCAGAGGGAGCGAGGGAGGAGCACAGGGGACTGAGGTGATGGTGCACGGGTGCCTTAGGGAAGGAAACTCTATGGAGACTACACCTGCAGGGGTGGGGGAAGCAAATATTGTTTAAAAATGAACAATGATGTAAAAAATTTTAAAAATTGTTAAAAAAAATTAAGAAATTAAGAAATTTGATTGTGACGTTCAAGAGACATAAAGCGCGTTGGCTGGAGACAGCTCCAGGTTGCATGTTGGAGAAGATGGGGGAAACGCAAATGTTTTTACAGGCAACTGGAAGGACCTGTTAGAAGGAGACGACTGATATTGAAGATAATCTAGAGTAAAGTAGGTTGGGACAATGACGGGAATAATCAATAGGGAGAAAGATGGACCCAAGAGGGAGGCACCCCATTATGTTGCAATTTTGTTCATTATTAATGATAACAAATTAGCTGCAGTGATAACGAGCTTTTCAGGGGCAAAATTTTAAATACAGAACAGAAACTAGTTCCTCTGTAGTTACTTACTTTCTCTGTTTAAAGATCACAATTGTGAGGCAGAATTTATTTACACTACAAAATGTCAATTTTTTCATTTGTCCTAACCACTTTATTGTTGCCTCAATACAAAAACTATAATATTTATATTATAAATAAATATAATAAAAAGGAAACCCAGCCACACAGAGAAACAAGTCTCTTTGTCCTGTGGCTGCAGAGACACCTGAGTCACTGCCAACCAGATGCTTAGCTCAGAGCAAACCTGCAGCTCCAGCGGCAAAAAGGATTTCCAGCCCAGCCTTGGGCCTGGGGGAGCTGTGAGTAGATCAAAAGTAAGGGAGCCACTTTCACCAAGGGCAATGATTTATCATGAGCTTTGTTGAAAACTTTCTCCCTGAGATGAAACAGTTTTTCAGGAGTACTGTAACTCAGTATTAACTTTCTTAGGTGAGAAGATGACCAGTTATTTATTAAAGACTATAAATTCTTCTTTCTATATTTCCTGAGGGTCACAGATTATGATTTGCTACCCAGAAATAATGTGCATGCTCCAGAAAGCTAAGTATCCTCACACTTGAAGTGTGCCTTTAGAGGAGATCTATGGGTAGCATCAGACAGAACCACCTGGGCATGTTCTTGGGGGGCAGAGGGACTTTGCTTTGCTTTGTTTTATAGCCTTATTGTGGTATATTTCACATGCCATAACATTCACAACTTAAAACGTACAGTTCACTGGACTTTTGTATATTGACAATGTTGTTCAACCATCACCACAAAGTTATTTAGCACTTACCCAACACTGCAAAACTAAAAAATTTGTACCCATTAATTACCCTCCCTTGCCTGCTCCCCCACATCTCCACTCTGCCCCTAGCCTCACCCCAGCCCCAAGCAACCAGAATCTTGAGGCTTTTAAAACCACAGATTCCCAAGCCCCTGTCTTAGATTTCCAGAATCACAATCCTTGCATAAGCAAAGCTAAACATCTTGCAAATAGCTTCCTACAGGATTCTGATTTGCCCTGTGTTAAGTATCTATGGTTCTTATTGAGAAATAACTCAGTAAACACTGCGTTGTGTAAGTGAGTAGGCAGATTCAGGATTACTAAGAATTCTTCCAGTTCTAATAAGTAATACAAATCAGTAATAAATTGATTTTAAATTCAGGCTTTGCTCTTTATTCAATTATCTGTTTTCCATTTGAAAGGACTCGCTACCACAATTGTTATTCTAGGATCGGCTTCAGCCTGTCTCTGCCATGGGTCTCTCACATCCCTTGTCCTCATAAATAACTCAAAGACAACAAGGCAAGACCTGACAGCATTCCTCCACAGGGCAGCGTATTTAAATACCTCTTCAATGAACTTTGACCCTGCCAGCTGTTACTGACAATCAAAGCAAAGCCCAGAAGTAAAGCAGTGGAAAGCAATGTGTATCTCCTCTCAAAACAAAGATAGAGAAACTGGGTTTAACACATCGCACACATGACCATAGACATAAGACTTCAATCAAGACCCTCCATGTCCACAGCGGTGAGAGTGAAAATGCATTTCTAAAAACGGATACAAAGAGACCTCCCTGGTTGAGCGCAGTGCTGTGAAGCTGTCCGAAGCCTCTGCAGTGCGGGTTCAAATCCCGGACGGCCAGAGAAATACCCACATGGCACAGCAGACCTCTCCTGTCTTGCCCGCTGCTCCGCTCAGCAGTGTATTTCAGTCAGTCTGCCTGTTCTGCTCCCCACTCGGTCTCTGGTGAATCTTCTCACCCTCCTGCACCTCTGACCTGTACCCCAGTTCTTGTATAAAAATAAATCTTTTTAAAAAAATGGATACCAAGAAAAAGAAGCATTTCAAAGAGTGCTGAAATAAGGACAGTGGTTAGATGTGTTTTAGTTGGGACTAGAAGGCAGTCCTGTACACACAGGAGCTAAACTAAAATATTTCTGGATACCAGCCTAAACTCCAAGTCTATAACTGTCCAAGACAAATGCTTATGTAAATAGAACAAGCTTGGGCCTCCCTGGTGGTGCAAGGGGTTGAGATGCAACCTATGAAGCTCACCGCAGCCACTACAGCACAAGTTCAATCCCCAGCCAGGGAGGTGGCCCACACGGTGCAGCAGACCTCTCCTGTCTCACCTGCTGCTCCCCTCAGCAGTGTATTTCAGTCAATCTGCCTGTTCTGTTCCCCACTCTGTCTCTGGTGAATCCTCTCACACACCCCCACCACCCAAAACTCTGGCCTGTATCCCAGTTATTGTATGTATAAATAAATAAATCTTAAAAAAAAAAAAGAACAAGTTTAAGATATTGAAACCAGCCAAATGCCCCCAAAACAGATGAATGGATCAAAAAGTTGTGGTGTTTATTCAATGGAATATTATTCAGCAATCAAAAAGACAAATTCATGCCACTTAAGGCAATATGGATGGAGCTGCAGGGGATTAGGCTAAGCAAAATAAGTTGGAAGGAAAAAGATAAATATCAGATGGTCTTACTTACATGTGGAATATAGAGAAACGAAGCAAAAGCTCAAGAAAAAGTCAGATCTAGCAAGCTGACCATAGATCTGTAGTATACAGTAAAGGATGGGGAAGCAGGGGGTCCAAATAGGGAGAGAAGAGCACAAGGGACTATGGGATGGTTCACAGGTGGTATGGTGGTGGGAGAACTGTGGGGATTACACCTGAGGGGAGAAACCAATTACTGTACAAAAATGAAAATGTTGCCCAAAAAAAATTGTTTTAATTAAAAATAAATTAAAAAATAGAGCAGGCTTAATGTCATAACTGTAGACAAGAAAAAAGTCTCAGATGTATCACCATCAACAATAGCCCACCTGAAATTAAGGTTTCCTTGTATATAGAAATTCATTTTTCTGCCTCCTTCCTCTTTTTTCTTCTTTGTGTGAATGCAACAGCCTTTTTTTTTTTAAAGATTTATTTATTTATGCATACAAGAACTGGGGTACAGGCCAGAGGTGTGGAGGGTGAGAGGATTCAGCAGAGACAGAGTGGGGAAGAGCACAGGCAGATTGACCCAAACACACTGCTGAGGGGAGCAGCAGGCGAGTCAGGACAGGTCTGCTGCGCCATGTGTGTAGCTCCCTGGCCAGGGATAGAACTCATGCTGCAGTGGCTGGGGATTGCTTCATAGGTTGCGTCTTAACCCCTTGTGCCACCAGGGAGGCCCCTGCAATAGTCTTTTTAGGACTTTCCTTATCTCCTTATTCTTATCCTATGAACAAATCTGTTCTCTTTTCTCCAGAACCAGGCTAGGCAACTTGTTCAAGACAACTATCAGGTTCTCAAGGTGCTCAGGCTAGGCTAGTTTTTGATAGTAGGGATGCATCACATCCACTAAACAGCTGCTCCCTTCTTTCTGAAAATGATATTATTAACATTCTGACGTAAATTGTCAAACCTCCTTCCAATCCAACAGTCAGAACTGAGTCTCTGTGAAGAGTCAAATTCCCTTCACATGCTCAGGAGCAGTAAAAGACCGCGTAGCTGGTGCACCCATCACAGGGCAGGTGTACATGGCAGGCAGCAAGAAGGACACACACCTCTTTAGCTCTGCGATGAGCAGCACGGTGCAAGGAACCCCCAGGGACATCAGAGAGATGTTGTTGATCGCAGGCTTGACAAAGGCCAGGCACGTCGTCACTGCAGACAGCACACAGACCACCACCTTGAACCGGCCCCTGGAGCCATGAAATAAACCAAATTCATTAGAACACAAGGTCTCGTTGTTGAATATCAAGGTATAGATGCAGCTGGTGGGAGTGCAACTAGAGAAAAAACTTTGCACTAAGTACCAAAATCTAAGAGCCATTCACACTTGGTGGCTTAGTTAGCCACCAAGACACTAAGAGTTAAGAACTGATTCTTATGAAATCAGACACTTGAAATATTTAGCCATGAGAATGGTAAAATGAGAATCAACTGCAGACCCTGAAGGTAAGATATCGATGATTGTTTTCTTAGTGTTACTTTTCTATGTTCGTTAGATGTTGTGCAGTAGGGTGTGGCAAACCTTTCCTGCAAAGGTGAGCTAATAATATATTTTAGTTTTCACAAGGCACTGAGTGAGTCTCTGCTACTCAACTTTGCCACTGTAGACAACAGGAAGTGAATAGGATTGGTTGTGCACCAATAAAACTCGATTTGCAAAAACAGGCATGGACTGGTTGGGCCCACAGATTGCAGTTTGTCAACCCCTGTTCTAGCAGGTGAGCACAAAGGACACTTATGTTGAAAACAGAGACTATATACAAACCACAAAGCTTCCACTTTAAAAGAAAAAATGGGCTGATGCACAAAACTAAGTCTTAAAAAATTCTAAGTGTTGGGCCTCCCTGGTGGTGCAAAGGGTTAAGACACAACTTATGAAGCAGTCTGCAGCCTCTGCAGCACGAGTTCAATCTCCTGGCTGGCCAGGGAACAGCCCATATGGCGCAGCAGACCTCTCCTGTCTCGCCCGCTGCTCCCCTCAGCAGTGTGTTTCGATTAGTCTACCTGTTCTGTTCCCCACTCTGTCTCTGGTGAATCCTCTCACCACCACCCCCATGCCTCTGGCCTGGACCCCAGCTCTTGTATGCATAAATAAATAAATCTTTAAAAAAATTCTAAGTGTCTGTATTTATGGACAATCCACAGCCTAGTGAGCATTGAAATATTGTGTTGAAAGTTTCTGACATGACAAATCCTAGGCAAATGCTTGATACTATCCTCAGACTCTTCAGTAAAGGTGCTTTCAGTAGAAAGAGCCAGAAGTGGCGACGTGATCTTGAACATGCTCCTTCGTCTCTCCCTGGGAATCCATTTCCTTATCTATGAAATGAAAAGCTGCAGTAGGTGATTTCTAAAGCCTCCATCATAGCTGAAATGGTTGTTATTGCTGATTAGCACAATTTATTTTGGCCAAGAGCCCTAGAACAGGTCACAGTTAGGAAACGAATTTGAATGAAATTCTATTCTAAAGAAATGACAGTGCACTGAAACCTTCAAGATACAAATCTATCTCCTCAAGAGGAAAACCACTTATCATCAAGGCACAGGAAATCATTGATCAAACTGCCAACTTTGTGACTGGAATGAACAGGAATTGGTGTCCTGAACTTTGAACAGAGAAAAAACATGTGGAGGAAAGGACCCAGGCTGCAAATCCTCAGGAGAATGGTGTTTTTCTCCTGGCCTTGGCTGCCATCCTCAGCTACTGGATAAAAGGCCATCGCTCCACCCGAGAAGGACAGGCCACTCACTGCTCCCCTTCCCCATCATGGGCAGGGCCCTTGGGGAGACACAATAACTTTTCACCAGGTTTGATGTTCTGTGACATAGGCCAAAGCATTTGGGTCTTTTTTTATTTAAAGATTTATTTCATTTATTTATGCATACAAGAACTGGGGTATAGGCCAGAGGTGGGGGGAGGGCAGTGAGAGGATTCACCAGAGACAGAGTGAGGAGCAGAATAGGTGAATCTATTGAAATACACTGCTGAAGGGAGCAGAAGGCGAGACAGATGAGATCTGCTGCACCATGTGGGTTAGCTCCCTGGCCAGGGATCAAACTCATGCCATAGTGGTTAATAGCTTGATAGCACTGAGTCTTTAACCCCTGTACCACCAGGGAGCCCCCCCCATTGGGTCTTTTTAGATTAGATGCACACATCATCAGAAACCTGAATTCCATTGCCTCTCTGTGTACAGCAGTTTCAAATTCAAGCACTAGCTGAAGAGAGAAAGAAAGCAAGAGAGAGGTTAAAAACACAGGTGTTCTGGTGAGACCGACATGTTTTCACATTCTCCCTCCATCACTTCGTAGCTAGCAAGTCACTAAACTCTCCAAATCTTAGGTTTCTACATGGAAATTAAGAAAACCTGCTCATGGAGTTCTTGCAAGCATTAAAGTACTTAACACAGTGTCTGCTGTATGGTATGTGTTAATCAAATAATAATAATAATAATAATTATTACCATCATTTGAGAATAAATGCTATTTTAAATAATATTATCATTGCTAATAATACCACACTCTCAGGGAAAATTTGGCTGAGGCCGTGATCACCAAAGGCTCTGTAATAGTACTAGCAAATAGTTCAAAGGCAGCAAGCTTGATGAAACTTGCTTTCTCTTAGGAGAACACTGGCAGACAGCACATCAGCAGAGGGTGTGGAGGAATGTGCTTCAGGAAGGCAGCTTCACCAACCAGGACATCCTGTGAACACACAATTCTGCAAGTAGCAGAAGTCAACAGAGGTCACATGGCAGGCAGAAAGCCAGCTGTCCCGGTGGTCCCCAGAGGCCACTAGAAATATAGGAGCCAAGGACCCCAACAGGGGGATTTATGAACAATGACTCTAGGCAGCAATACTGCAAATTCTGGTCCCATTTTCAACTTTCTGGCCCACCATGGTCTAAAACTGCAACACCAGGTCAGGAAGCCGTTAGCACCTCTGTTTCCTGTACTCTCCAAACCAAAATCTAGCAACCTAATAACATCATATTATTATAATATTATGAAGACAACAGCAGCAGCTTTGTCTTCAGCTACCTGTTAAAGCAATGGTTTTCAACCTTATCAGGCCCTGGGGCCCCTTTATATTAAATATTCAGGGAGGCTCATTTTACTCTTCTGAAGTAAAATGGAAACTTTTGTATGATAAAACTTCCATCATTGTGACCATTGAAAACATGCCCACAGATTTCCCAGATGCCCCTTGTGGGATGGAAATGCACTGGTTAAATGCACTGCTTTAAACTCCCTGTAGGACAACTAGCCCTTGATACTCACAGGGCCACAGCATTAGGTCCTAGAAGGTCTGCTCCTGTCAGTCTATAAGTAAGGAGCAAAGACCCAGAGAGTCTAAGATGCTAGCTCCAAGTCATCTCCCAAGTGTGAGAGGCAGGACACACAGACTCTAGCCCACACCTTTGGTATTCAGGATCCAAAAAGAGAACTGGATTATGAAGTGAGGGCTGTCCTTATCTTTTGTGGAAGCAAAAGCACAAAAATCACAGCAGTCATATTATTTAGGAAATGGATGTAATTATCCTACAATAATTATTTGTTCCTGGATGTGTCAGAGTAAAAATGTCTAAAAATCATAAATATCAGCAGGTGAGTGTATGTCCTGGTACTCAGGACATTCTAGGTAAGATGAAAGTATTGTTAGTCCACCAGTTATCCCTAATTGAATCACCCCATGCTATTTTAAACATTCATATCTTCAAATCATTTATCCATATTAGCCATTCATAATAACTGCTAGAATTTATTGAGTCCTCTCTTTTATAAAACACTGTGCTGTGCACTTTACATGATTTTCCCATGTATTTTAGCCCCATAAGGAAGATGCTTTCATTAGCTCCACTTTACAGATGAGCAAAACGAGGTCTCAGAGCTTTTAAAAAAGTGGATTGCTATTCAAAATCATATCTGTCATTTGGCCGTCACGCTCTGCTGTCTCTTCTCTAGATATCTCACACTGAACCTATTCTTAATGTATTTTTAGAATATTCCAGAAGTCTATGCCAAAAGGCAGGGGGTGGGGAGGAGAGACAGGTTAACTATCTGTTAAGTTCAGGCAGCTAAACCACACAATCCCTAGTCATTAGAAATCCCACTTTGACATGAAATCTTTGGTCTGGATGACCACAACACCTGCAGCAGCCACCCAGCCCCTAGTCCCAAGCAATAAAGCCCATACCCAGGAGTTTGACCTTCTTGTTCTCCCCATCAATGGCAAACTGAAAATGGACAGAGCTAAAATCTTTATTTATAGTGAGCCACTTTTTCTACAACAGGTACCTTTTCCATCTTCTGATTAAAGTTGCCCAGTCTCTCCAATGTGTTAGCCGGTCTCAGAAAGGCTGAGCAAATTCTCCTCCACATGTTACTGGTAGTAAAAACAGCAAACTCTGAGCCCTGGCTGTATTCTCCCCACTACATGATATACAGGATCATCTCACAAGAAATCTGAGCTGAAAATTCTTATTTATCTCATTTTACAGATGAGGAAATACAAAGTTAAAGAATCAAAGAGATAAGCTATAGTTTGTAAGAAGGAAGCTAAGATTCAAACCCAGGTAGTCTCCAAAGTCAGGACCATCCCCACAGCGAAGGGAGAGAGGTCCCCTCTGGCCCAGAGAAATAACACAGGTGCTGGCCATGGGAAACTCCCCCTATGGGGCCTCCCCGGTGGTGCAGCGGTTGAGCGCTGGTTTCCGAAGCTGCCCGCAGCCTCTGCAGCGCTGGTTCAATCCCCACAGACCTCTCCTGCCACTCGCTGCTCCCCTCAGCAGTGTACTTCGTCAGTCTGCCTGTTCTGCTACCCGTTCTGGCTCTGGTGAATTCTCTCCCCCTCCCGCACTTCTGACTGTACCCAGTGGTTGTATAAATAAATAAATAAATCTTTAAAAAAAAAAAAAAACTCCCCCATGGCCACTGTGCTCTCTGCCACACAATACAACTGCGCTATTAGAGGCGGTGAGCCTTAATTACTACAACCATGCCTCCATTTCCTCCTCTCTAACTCATAACAACACTCCCTTACTCTCACCTTCAAGAAATGAGAAAAGAAAAAGGTCTTCTGTCATAAACACATTAAAAATCCTCACTTGGAATTTCAATCCATGATTCCAGAGAGCAACCAAATAAACAAAACTCTTACACCCATATCTTCCACTTTTTGCTCAGATGCCAGGAGTTGAAAGGTAAGAGATAAAAGCAAGGTGGTTCTTCAGCTCTCAGCCTAAGCCAATAGGTAGATGTTGTTTTGAAGGCAGAATCAGAACCTCTCTGCCCTCGAAGCCACTCATGACACTGCCTCACTGCCTCACACTGTCCGCCTCCACCCCCTCAGGAACCCCTCCCCCACCCCTCAGCACCAGTCATTTTCCTGAAGCTGAACAAGGAGACAGAGCAAGGCTAGAAACTCTGAGAGCCAAACCCAATCCACTGCATTTTAAAGTATACTTTCTCCACTGAGAAGGAGGCCTGAGCACTATAATCATCTAAGATCAGGAAGGCCTTCCTTTTTTCCTTCAACTTGCAAACAGCTGACTGTCACTTTCATTTTCCAGAAAATAACCTTGATGATTCTTCTACCTGCTCAATGACACTCAGTGCTAATACAATTTAATTCAAATCTTGCTGTCCAGAATAAGAGCGTATAGTTAATCCATTTATAAAGTATGTTCTCTCCCTAACTCATTTAAAAATATATTTTTTGCATTTTTTCAATACTATTGAAAATTAAGATGTGCTCTTTCTTTTTTTTTTTTTTTTTTTTAAGATTTATTTATTTATTTATACAGGCACTGGGCACAGTCAGAGGCGGGGAGGGTGAGAGAATTCACCAGAGCCAGAGCAGGGAGCAGAGCAGGCAGAAGGACCGAAGTGCACTGCTGAGGGGAGCAGCGGGCGGCAGGAGAGGTCTGCGCGCCATGTGGGACCCTCCTCTGGTGGCCGGGGAGCAGCCAGGGATCGAACCGGCGCTGCAGAGGCTGCGGGCAGCTTCGCAACCCAGCGCTCAACCGCTGCGCCACCGGGGAGGCCCTGTGCTCTTTCTTTAAATAAAAAAAAAAACCCTGCAAATAGTACAGGTTAAAGGTAAAAGCTCAAGTTCTCAACTAATAGTCACTGATCGGAGTTGCGGTCCTCATCTTCCCAGACATTTTTGTACACAAAGACCTAGACTCATTAATTCTAAAATTCAGATATCACATACACAGTTCTACAAGATACTTTTTGCAGCCAACATTTTTTTTTGAAAATTTATTTATTTTATGCATACAAGAGCTGGGGTACAGGCCAGAGATGCGGGAGGAGGGGGGTGAGAGGATTCACCAGAAACAGAGTGGGGACCAGAACAGGCAGATCCACTGAAATACACTGCTGAGGGGAGCAGCAGGCGAGTCAGGAGAGGTGTGCTGAGCCCTGTGGGTAGCTCCCTGGCCAGCCAGGTATCGAACACATGCTGCAGTGGCGTGGATAGCTTCATAGGTTGTGTCTTAACCCCTTGCGCCACCAGGGAGGCCCCTGCAGCCAACATTTTTTATGGACACTCCTCCACCTCAGTCCCTGGGGAGCAGCCTTGGCCTTTAAACAGCCCAGTGATTTCTATTCTTATTCAAAGTACCAGGAAAACTGATGATTTTTTTATTTTCCTGACCTCATCTTCCCTGAGTACACAATTTGCCTAACTGAACCAAATGATAAAGTTTTAGACTTTTTGTCCATCTATATATTTGGCAATGCACAGTATCCTGTAGAAAAATATGTGGTAATATGTTCTGGAATCATTTCTCATTTTTTTGAGTCTGGTTCTCTTCTGTTTCTTTGTATTTCACCACACCTCATTTATAGCGTCTCAGAAAGACTCTCCCTGATCAAACACAAAATCAGCACCCCCAGTCACCACCATTCTCTTATCAGCTCCATTTGCAGCAAAAACACATGCCACACCCTAATACTCTATTTATTCGTTTGTTGATTTGTTGATTTATAAGCCTACTCAGGGCAAGCCCACTCTGATGTTTTGTTTATTTCTGTACCCCATTACCTAGAAAATGGATAGTTTAAAAAAAAAATTAGTGGATAAATAATCATATAAGCATAATATAGTGGATATTAAAATGCACTCCTGGGCCTCCCCGGTGGCGCAGCGGTAAAGCGCTGGGTTGCGAGGCTGCCCACAGCCTCTGCAGAGCCGGTTCGATCCCCGGCCAGGCCACCGGGCGAGGGTCCCACATGGCACTCAGACCTCTCCTGCTGCCCGCTGCTCCCCTCAGCAGTGTACTTAGGTCCTTCTTCCTGTTCTATTCCCCGCTCTGGCTCTGGTGAATTCTCTCGCCCTCCCGCGCTTCTGACTGTACCCAGTGCTTGTATAAATAAATAAATAAATCTTTTAAAAAAATAAAATAAAGGGCCTCCCCAGTGGCGCAGCGGCTGAGCGCTGGGTTGCGAAGCTGCCTGCAGCCTCTGCAGCGCCGGTTCGATCCCCGGCTGCTCCCCGGCCACCGGAGGAGGGTCCCACATGGCACGCAGACCTCTCCTGCCGCCCGCTGCTCCCCTCAGCAGTGTACTTCGGTCCTTCTGCCTGCTCTGCTCCCCACTCTGGCTCTGGTGAATTCTCTCACCCTCCCACACTTCTGACTGTACCCAGTGCTTGTATAAATAAATAAAAATAAAATAAAATAAATCTTTAAAATAAAATAAAATAAAATAAAATGCACTCCTTACTGAAATTCTGGATTTCCAACTTGGAGGTATATATAGTTCTCATTAGAAGCAAAAATAATACAATTTGAAAATTACAGCACCTATAGCTCAGAGAACTGATTCCTCAGGGTACTGTAAACCTACAAAACTGGTGACAGTGTATTAGACTCAATGTCTAATGTGAACTGTTCTGGCAAGAAATCAAAAGTCTTTGAACTGCCATTCAGTAATTTCATCACCACTGAAAATCTTTCCACTTTGGCTCATATCAAATAAGGGAGACATGTGACTTGTTATCCCTAATATCATATACATTTCTTCCCCAAATATGTTAACATTTCCTATTTTTCCTTTCAGTTTATTTATATTATCAGAGGATACATAAGCAATGGATAGTAAACAAGTATATGACTCATTCTAGTTTATCACTAGAATGAGCTTGACAATGTGCTATTTTTCTTGATAAATACCTTGTTATTCTAGGTATCGCACTTACCAGTAAATGCAAAAGAGTTTTGCACAAGCTTACCTGTCATTTCGAAAAATCTTTGGTAGATACCTTCTGGGAAACCACATGGCCAGTGCACACATCAGAACCCAAAGGATTGCAAGTTCATCGAGCATCTGACCCAGGAAACTAAGGGTTGCGTGGAAGTAGACAGATCCTATTCCTAGAATCGATTACAACCAATAAAAAAGGTCACCAAGGAAAAACAAATTTACAAATTCAATACACTGCTTAGGATAGTTCTTTCACCCAAAGCTATCGCAAAGTCTAGCTCACTATTTCACTCAATCTCTCTGAAAAAAGAAACTGAAAGAAGAAACTCATACCACCTCAGTATGTAGACCTGAAATCTACAAAGAGGATTTTAAGCAGGACCCAATAGCAGTACATCAGAACTTTACTATTTCACAGGTAAACACCCTGGGACTTTATGGAAACAGGCAGTAAATGAAAATCAACAATCTTTCCCTGTTAAGAATTCTCAATCTGCCTGTGGGAGGAAATGGAAATTACATAGGTATTTCCCAGAACAATGAAGGATCAAACATCCAGATTTTTCCCTTTAATTTGGTCCATTAGAAAGTACAGTCTCATCCGAGTGCAATTGTTTCCCATGACTTTCTCCAGAAGTTCTCAGAAAACTGCGCTGGCACGACACCAATATTTCACATAAATGAACTCCCAAATGGTGTTAGCGATCATTCCAGCCAAACTTGTTATCAAGTCTGTATTCAAGAGACTTTATTTTGGCATCCAGCAAGCAAAATAAAAGTTTGCTAACACGTCAGAGTAACTCTGGTTTACAAAACATAATGTTCAAAGGGAACAGGAAACGTGCGGAATTCCATTTCCTCCCTTTCAGTCCATGCTCACAAACAAATCCACTTACCCACGACAACTAAGAGAGTCCATATTAAGTAGATGCCACTGTTGAAGCACGTTGCATACTGACGGAACAAGCACATGCAGATGGGCGGCAAAACGAAAAACAGGAAGTTGCTGATCTGGGGGAAGAAATGTAAAACAAAGAGGTGAATATTAAATTAAAGGGCATAAAATAAGGTAACTTATTCAAGTATGTCCTTTGCAACCTGGAGTGAACGTGGCCATACATCATGTTTAGGCAGTTAGACTTTTTTTTTTTTAAATACATATATATATATATTTAAGATTTATTTATTTATATAAGAGCTGGGGTACAGGCTAGATGTGCGGGAGGTGAGAGGATTCACCAGAGACAGAATGAGAACAGAACAGGCAGACTGACAAAATACACTGCTGAGGGGAGCAGCGGGCGAGACAGGAGAGGTCTGCCGTGCCATGTGGGATCCTCTCCGGCGGGCTGGGATCGAACTGGCACTGCAGAGGCTGCGGACAGCTTCACAGCGTTGCACTCAACCCGCTGTGCCACCAGGGGAGGCCCCAGTTAGACTTTTTAAACTGCATATAAACAGGAAAAATTTGAAATGTCTTCTATAACCATTCAGGGGGACTCCTGGCCTTCTCTCCGATGTAGGAGCAGTTATGAAAAGCAGTGCAAGGGCCTCCCTGGTGGTGCAAGGGTTAAGACGCACCTATGAAGCTGTCTGCAGCCACTGCAGCATGAGTTTGATCCCCGGCCAGGGAGCAACCCACATGGCACAGCAGACCTCTCCTGACTCGCCCGCTGCTCCCCTTAGCAGTGTACTTCAGTCCGTCTGCCTGTTCTGCTCCCCACTTTGTCTCTGGTGAATCCTCTCACCTCCCACACCTCTGGCCTGTATCCCAGCTCTTGTATGCATAAACAAATAAATCTTTAAAAAAAAAGAAAAGCAGTGCAATCTACAAAAGGTACACAGGCTGTTCTCTTGAGTCAAAGAATCACTGACTCTTGCACAAACGAACTATCATTCCAATTGACTCTCACATATATTTTGCAAGATAAGGCCTGCACTAAATAATGGTGAAAAGGAGAAAAAAGGAACTTAATGAAGAAGTGAGAAGGATTTGATCAGTGTTTCAGTCCCCAACAGTTTTCCACCATTTGCAGTCTTTCCTCCTGAGCCACTGGGCCCACTGAAGGCGGAGTCTCCCCAGCTTCCCCAAGCCACTCCCTCAGCTTTTTTACCCCTACTCAAAACACACTTCTAGGCAGAAATCAAATATGTAAGATCCTTCCCAGCTTTAGAAGTGTAGCATTTTATCTTTTAGATACAGTGGGATTTAATCCTCTTTGTTACCTCTGTAGGGGGGGGGACTCAGCTTATTTATTTATTTATTTATTTATTTATTTATTTATTTAAGATTTATTTATTTACGGATACAAGAACTGAGGTACAGGCCAGAGGTGTAGGGGGGAGAGGGTTTGAGAGGATTCACCAGAGACAGACTGGGGAACAGAACAGGCAGATTGACCGAAGTACACTGCTAAGGGGAGCAGCAGGCGAGTCAGGATAGGTCTACTGCACCATGTGGGTAGCTCCCTGGTCAGAGATCGAACTCGTGCTGCAGTGACTGCTGATTGCTTCATAGGTTGCTTCTTAACCCCTTGTGCCACCAGGGAGGCCCATCAGCTTTTTTATTTTAAATACTACATTGTATCTAATGCAATATATTCAAAATATTGCAATAAATTCAAAAATATCATTTCAACATACAATCACTTTTTAAAAATCATTAACAAGATAGTTTACATTGTTCTGCTGGCAATGAAGCAGAAGGGGCAATGAAGTCTGCAAAGTTAAGGTGATGGAGGCTTTCAAGAGAAGAAATGAGTTGTCTGTGTTGGATCATACAGAGGAGGCCTCCAAGAATCCATGAACTGAACTGAAGTAGAAGTGTAACAGGTGGTCCCCAGGAATGGGGGAGGTTCCAGGTTTCCTGCTCCACCCAAGGGAGCATGGAGCTGAATGGGGAGTGAAGAAACTGAAGAAGAGATTGGGAAGGAAGGAAGCAGGATGGAGAGCCAGAAGGAGACCTGGAGGAGGCACGCGGAGCAGAAAGACATGCGAAGAAACTGCGCTTGCCTTTTGGTCGTGGACTGGTGGACACAGATGTGGGTGAGAGACCCAAGGGGAGGTGACAATGGTGGTTTTTGTCTTGATTTTGATTTTGCTCTTTTCCTCCCACACTTGTCTGGCTGTTTCTGATCCTTTTCTGTGGGTCCCCACTGAAAAGTGCTTTGGGCTTGTGGCAGGCTTTGGGGCCTTGCTCTGGGCCAATCCTGCTTGGGTGGACTTTTCCCCACAAGGGGATGGGTGACTTTGGGTGCTTGATTTAGAAACTATATTCTTTGCCTTTCCTATGTTGTTTACTTTAATTGTATTAAAGTTCCTTTTCATTAAAGTCTCATACGTTTTGTGTTGATGCGGTGGATGGCAGAACCTATTTAGAGCAGGCAGATTTGGGGGCTCTGGGGTGTCCCTCTCCTGTAACAGAAAGACTTTTCCAGACTGAGGAAATCACACAGGTATGCAACTACACAAAATGTGTCAGCAAACCCCAGAACTTGAGCTACAGGTAAGGACTGGCAGAGGATGTGGTCAACAAACGCCTCTCTCACTAAACTAGGAACAAAAGGGTTAGGGGTAACAGGAAGGGGAGAAAGATAGGGTGGGGAAAAATAAAATGAGTAAAGGGAAAAGAATATGCATTGTGAGGGGTGAGATAGGACCTGGGCTGCTGCCTTTGACTAAAATTCAAGACTAAAGTCCCTTGTGAGGCTATGACATTCTGGAGAAAGGGCACCTTCTAGTTAGTCCTCTCTGCTTGGGGTCTATTTTTCTTTCCCACCTTGGAGCCCTAGAGCATAGATAAATTGCTTCGGAAGTCCCAGGAGGTATATAATCTCTAGTCTCAAAAGTGTGGCCAACTCCCACTTACTGAGAAGCAGGTGAGGCGGCATCAGGACAGAATTGACTATATAGGCAGAAGCTATTGTTCATTGCTATCACCTCAACCTTTACTTTTCATGGACTCACAGAATCAGAGATCTTTATGAGTTAAGGTGAGAAATCTTTTTTTTTAAAGATTTATTTATTTTTATACAAGAACTGGGGTACAGGCCAGAGGTGTGGGGGTGAGAGGATTCACCAGAGACAGAGTGGGGAACAGAACAGGCAGATGAACTGAAGACACTGCTGAGCAGAGCAGCGGGCGAGACAGGAGAGGTCTGCTACACCATGTGGGTCTCTCCCTAGCCGGCCGGGAATCGAACCGGTGCTGCAGAGGCTGCAGACAGCTTCACAGTGCTGCACTCAACCCACTGTGCCACCGGGGAGGCCCAAAGGTGAGAAATCTTAAAGACAATCCCTTGTTTTCCAAGGAGATCTAAAGAGACACCCAGGATGGTTAAGGTCAGAGAAGCATTTATCTGCACTGGGGCCAACAGCATGTCCTCTCCCCCTCCCCCTGCTGCCTCATGCACCTTCCACAGCCCCATGCTGCTCTTCATCTCTAAACTCCCTGGCATAACTCCTCATCTAGTAGCTAAAAATTTCAAACTACACCACCTATTGTACACATATCACCTGTTACATGATTTATTTATTTATTTATTTAATGTTGTCTTTAGATTTATTTATTTATTTATTCATACAAGCACTGGGTACAGTCAGAAGTGCGGGAGGGTGAGAGAATTCACCAGAGCCAGAGCAGGGAGCAGAGCAGGCAGAAGGACCGAAGGACACTGCTGAGGGGAGCAGCAGGCGGCAGAAGAGGTCTGCGCGCCATGTGGGACCCTCCTCAGGTGGCCGGGGAGCAGCCGGGGATCGAACCGGCGCTGCAGAGGCTGCAGGCAGCTTCGCAACCCAGCGCTCAACCGCTGTGCCACCGGGGAGGCCCCACCTGCTACATGATTTAAATGTGGCTCTCCTTTTGTTAAACATAGAAGTAAAAAGAAGAAAAGAAGGTGAAGGGGGGAAAGAAGAAAAATGGAATTGTTATACTAGAGGTTACTCAAAACCTGATCTTTCTCCTTTCATATACATGAAAGTGCCCTCTCTTGGGGGGGGTGGGGGCGGGAAGTACCTTACAAAGCTCAAGTCTCCTTTCTATCCCCCTCCCCAAAGATAACCGTTGTCCTCAGACTCACAGTCTTCAAGTCATTGTCTTTGCATTAATGTGAATACATACATACCACGTGCTGTAACATTATCATTCTGCAACTTCTTTTTTGCATTCAGTAATGTGCCTTGCAAACTCTTTCATCTGAGTTCATAGAGATTTACCTCTCTAGCTGGAAGTTTTGCAGAGAGCACTTTATTTAGACAGCCGCCAGTAGAAAGAACACCAGTTGAGAGCCCCATCTACAGTGTTGGAGAGTATAACACATTTTGCTTTTTACTCCGTTATATCTTCACTGCCTCAAGTCCTCTGAATCTGGGGCCTCTCTGGTGGTCTAGTGGTTAATATGTCTCAGTGCTATCACCTGGGTCAGGGAGCTACCCACATGGTGAAGCAGACCTCTCCTGTCTTGCCCACTGCTCCCCTCAGCAGTGTATTTCAGTAGATCCACCTGTTCTGCTCCCCACTGTCTCTGTCTTACCCCCTGCACCTCCAGTTCTTCCCTGCAAAAATAAATAAATAAAATATTAAAAAAAAAAAAAGTCCTCTCAATCTCCTATCTCCTTTCTTCAGTCAAGTGCACCTGTCTAGGCCAAGTCATTTGTCCCACAAATGACTCGATCTATGTAGCAGCATACACATTAGTCACTTGTAAATGTATTTACACATGTTCACAGAGACGTGAAGCCACTCATTACAAAACCTGCTGTACATTCATGATGCACATACTGAGAGAGTTCAACTTAGAAGGCCCATTATAACACATGCTCCCACATAACACTGAAATCACATTGTGCAGAGTCCATCTGCCCATGGCCGCCGGCCTCCACCACGCCTTTTAAAAACATCAACAGAAAAAAAAAATAAAAATACCAAATTAGAGGGAGATGATCCCCAAGACAAAAAGAGGAAGGAACTCCTAGAAAAATACGGAAAAGCACATGAATCCTGGTTAAAAGAT